TCAGGTCACCAGGTCACTTGAAGTGACCTCACCTCATAAAAAGTTTCAATGTCTGTCATAGCTACACCGAGTGACCGATCGCTTTGAAACTTTCAGCGATTGCTAAGAGCAATAGCATGTACAAAATGTATATCTCAGAATTTTGATATCGATGACCTAAGGTCAGGTCAATTTTGCGACCTCCCCATTATAAGTCAATGGGAGAAAATTGAAATGCGCCTCTTTTGGATGAAAGACATTATAAACACTCCCAAACACCGAATTACAAGTGGTTTAGACACACTGAACATGAAAATGGTGTCCGTGACCCTTGTTTATGCCCTGAGGTCATCTTAGGTCACGAATGGTATCTAACAGTTTTTCGCAAATAACTTTTGATAGAGGCATGCTAGAGCGATGAAAACGCCTTAGATGTGTTCAGCTCGACGATACGGATCGACTGATATGCAACATGACCCTTTCCGGTCAGGTCATGACCTTGACCTGAGGTCAAATTTTCAAGTTGACCTTTCAAGGTCAAGTTATAGTTCATTCGATGCGTCTTGACGAGAGGAACACGATGCCGGTAAAAGTAAGCTCGTACAGGGCTTGGGTCAAAAGTTATTGCAGAAAAACTGTTTCCAAAAAAATCGGCTATTTTTGTAGTTTTTGCCCCCTGCAGGCAAAACCGTTGATGTTAGGTCAAATCTGAGAGAATTACTCAGAAAGGGCGTTAATAGGGCTATCGAATGCGCTTTTCCGCGGCGCTGTAGCTCTATTGGTTCCCGAGTTATACGTTGGCTTCTTGGAAATTTTCGCCATTCGACCTGGAAATCGGCGAAATTTTGCCTTCAATGACCTCTGGTGACCTGACCTTTGACCTGACCAAAAAATTGACCGAAGTGATTTCGTCATTATTTTTGACGCTCTTTCGAACGCCGCCTTCCGCGTATCGCTACGTGGCCCAGGAGCCGAGTTACAAGGGGGGGGGGTGTTCAAACACCCCCCCCCCCAGCAGGGCGTGGAAATCCAGGACCCCCAGCCGGGCGCGGGTTAAGTAACACACTCTGGGACATATCGTATTATACATCGTTCGAATCGCCGATCTCTTCTGACCATGTCCACCAAAGGGCATCGCGCCATTTTGCGCCATTTTGCTTCTACGGTGAATAACGTGAGCCAGTTCAGTCCGCGAGCGGCTGTGGCTCCTATTCGATACGACTAAGCTCATTGACCTGGCTCGAAGCTGGTGTCACCTGGTGGGCGCCTAAATGTGGCTTGACTTTTGCCATAAGATGTGCTTATTGAAATGTCATATAGGCATAACGCTGTGCTCAAGAAAAACTGTCCGATTTCTTGTCGCGTTTGATGTCCAAGCCGCACAAGTCCCGAGTGGTCGGCTTAAGATCTAACGTCAAAAGCGCCTATGTGTTTGTATTGTTCGCGTCGCGCTGACCTTAGTTGCTGCCCGGCCGGGGCCGATTAACGGTGGCTGGCAACAGCTGCAGATGCGGTCACGTGACGCCCTGAGGCGTCCTGGCGGTCAGTGCAGCGCGGTCGGCTGGCGGGCTCGCCACACTTGCGTTCGGAGCGGCCTGGGCCGGCGGGCGAGCCGTGCGAACGTGCGCCAAATCTTGGGCCGAGCGGCCTGTCGCTGTTGGGCCGAATCTCCTTAGGCAGTTCGTTTCTTTTCTTGTCTTTGCATTGGCAGGGAATACGTCCTTGATCACGTGGTGATGTCTTGCACCACTTTCAGGTGATGTGGGAATTAATGCGTGCTAATTCTGAAAAAGGGCCACTGTGCGCTGTGGCCGGTCGGGACTGGCCACAGCGGACCGTCCACCGCACGCAGCCGTGACGTCAGAACCGCCTACCCATCCCCTACCCCCACGCCTGCTGGACGCACCGCACACACCGCACGCAGCAGTGTGCGGTGCCCGTGAACACCCCTCAGTACTCAGTAGGCAGTCATAATAAGTTGACGAATAATATTTAGAAGTCAAGGATAAATATATACCCAGCTGAAATTGATATCAATATCTGAATACATTATGCCTAGGTACTTGTAATTACCATCGATCGACTTATGTAACATTATTTTAAAGATAGCTCATAATCTCACATTAACAGCAGTCTTTTTGTGGATGAAATTCTCTGGAAAAAAGAGCAGCTTACGCTCATGTCCTATTCGTTTCCGGCTCAGTCTCTTCAACCAACACTAATGGAATGACCATGCACATTCTCTTCAAGATGTAGCCCATTTCCTTTCACGCAGTAGGAAAGGCTTGTATTTTTATCAGTTTTCATCCCGTCTCCTGGGTGGCCCCAGCCTCCGGCTCCATCTATTTGCTTGTCGCTTCGTCACAATGCTCTTGCATTTTGATTTTGGCATTTTATTCGCTGGCTTTCCTGTTGCTTCATGTTTCACTAGGCTGCATTACTTATCAAAACGGGTAATTCAAGGCTCAAAGCAATTTGAGAGCCCGTCACTAGGTAATATGACGGTCAACAATATGCATAATAGCCACTCTATAACTCGGATCGGCTTAACCTAAGCCTTTTTCAGCCATTTTTGCATTATTGTCTGAACAATTCATGAAACAGTCTTTCAAGAAACTAATGACTTGTTGGACTTACTCAGATACCAAATCTCGAAAGAAGCACATCTTGAAATGATTGCAATGTTGAAAATGTTAATACTTTCAGCATAAAAGTTCTAGCTATGCATGTGCAAAGCGATGGCTGATCCTTAAAAGCAATTCAAGTTATTTATCAATAATTATTTCTTTTAAAAATTGCAAAAAAACTGTCAGCACACCACACGCAATTTGCAACACAACATCGGAAACTGTTGCAGAAGTTTTTGTTTATTCCGTTGCTATGGAGACGAAGCCCCGCAAAACTACGCTCCCGGATCGAAAGTACAATTCTATTGACGCCGCATGTCCAGGCTTTATGAAAAGTAGTAGTTTGTAAAATTGTACTTTGAAAACTACAAATGTACAAACTACAATCGGATTGTAGAATCTTTATGAAAAAGGACACAGGGCGCGGGTTAACCCCTTGGCCTGGCGATGGTCAATAAATTTGTTGATAAACGACACCGTAACTCATAAATGGAATAAAATCACATAAATTGTAAACAGGATATCTACTTAATCGAACTCTGTCTCGACTTTAAAGGTAGTGTGCCACCTTTGAAAGATTTCCCGTTTTATTTTTCCTAGGATAAGAAGCTTCTGTTTTTACCTAATATCGCAAAAAAAAATCAAAAATGGGCCTGGAATAGTGCCTTTTTCGCCTAAAAGTTTATCGGTTTTTAGATATGTATAACAACTGTAGTGGGCTCACCTGCAAACAGGCGTCGGGCAACAATCGCGAATGCGGCGCACTTGTGACAATAAGCAAAGGTCATTATAGTGTTACGACCATACGACGTACGGGAATGAGTTATCAGCTGTCTAATCGTAGACAACACAATGTCGAGCCTTAAACTGTAAGCCTGTATTGGTATTGTTTCTTAAATTTGGCTGTCGAACATTAATTTGTGGTTTGAAATATGATTTTATGTAAAATAATTGATATGAAACAGCCGTCTCTTAAGTTATGACCCCATTACACCACACGCAAGTGGCAGAAATGACAATGATCAGCTGACGCATTTTTCTTGGCCGAAGTCAGAGCGCGCGGCCCGACGCACCACGCGTATTTGGAAATTCCGACCTCGACGAGCATCAGAAGCCACCTAACAGGCGTGTTCGAAACCGCAGGAGATGATGATGAACGGGTTTATCGAAACTTGATTGGATGAGCCTATCGGTAATAGCGATTTTAGTGTGTGCATTTATTGTTCATAGTGGTGTGAAATGTGGTTGGGGTACGACCGACAACCCGTGGGGGCGAATTTCGCACTGGGGTACTCAAAATTTGAAGAATTTAAGACGTTTCCATAAGTTTTGAAGGTATGGATAAGTTCTAAAAATCCGGTTCTCCTTATCCGGGTCATTAACTCCATATGGTCCAAGAAAGCTGGCACACTACCTTTAACCTGTTTTCTCTTTGCCAAAGAATTTACCCTCACTTCGTCAAACATCTTCCTAGCCCGACTGAAGGAGGCATTAAGAGCTTCAAACTTTTAGGCGAGCAAACAGGTCTGCTCACAGCCCTGCTACCCTGGCGAGGAGCACGGAAACTGACGCTCGCTCGGTTGTGTAGAGCGTCGCTAGCGATCACCCTGTGCCGACCCAGATGGCGCAGCTGTCCCTGTATATGTACCAGGCAGGCACCAGTTTTGCTGAGGTGAAGGCACGGTCGTGTTGGTCAAATGTTTCTCTATCACTGCCTCCCTATACTGGAAGGCTCAATTGAAGTACTTTGTGTTAAATCTTTGGGTGCTGCCCGTAAACTTCTTCAAAGGTCAATGTGTTGAAGGTTGTCTTGTGGACGGTTGGAGCTCTGGGCTGCGCAGCTGCCAGGCTTACGGTTCACATCCGTTCATGCCGTGTGGCAAATAATTACAAAATTACCATCTATCCTCAGGCATCCCAAGTCTCACCATCCGACCCTTGATCAATTTACCTGCGCTCTTGGATGAGGGCAACCTCACACAGGTTACCTACCGGTGCTGTCAGTTGTTGTAGAAATATATTTCTCCAGGTTAACCGTTTGAACGGGTAGGTGACCTGTCACGTCTGGTTTAACAGGGTAGAGTCAAATGCTTTCGCGCATTTAGTCAGCGGTCAAATCAGTCGAAACGCCTCTTACATCCCCCCCCCCCGAAAAAAAACAGCAAAAAGTAAGTACCCTCCGGTGCCCGGTTCACCAAGATCAGTGAACATAATAAGCTTACCCAGCATAACCCCTGGATTACGCTCTGCTATAGTTAATCGTGGTCTCATCATGTTCAAAGACGGTGAACATCACAGGAGCAGTCAATTGTGAACTCGTGGTATTGCTTAGTGGCACCAGTTGTTTTCTACGCGATAGATTCGACGCATTTACAATTCTCTCCTCTTCCACAGACTGCCGGGACATGAACAAATCCTGCCTATCATGGGCCGAGCGGGGCGAGTGCGGCAGGAACCCCAGCTACATGCACGTCTACTGCCGGCTCTCCTGTAGCCTCTGCCAGGCCCCGCCAAAGCCTCCACCGAGTCCCTGCAAGGACAACAACAGCAACTGCGCCGGCTGGGCCAGCGCCGGCGAGTGCTACAAAAACCCCAGCTACATGCTGGTCGTGTGCAAATTGTCGTGCAACAAGTGCTAATGGTGGTGCAATGTGGCAGAGTGGGTGATGTGTGTTGTTATGACGGGATGACATTGCTGGAAGGTGGATGGGTCTAGTGGACAAGGATTGGAGTTGAAGGAACAGTACAGAATATAAAGGGAGCCTAGTGGGGGATGGGGGGGGGGGCACTGACTAGACAGAAGCTAGAGTTTGATGCGGTCGATTCAGTTTGGAGGTAAACGTAAAGCTCAATGCTAAGTCGATCTGTATATGCTATTGAGAAATATGTACATATTTTTATGTAATGTTAAACCTATTTATTTACCATTGTCGACTGAGTGTATGTGGTGCTATCAATGCAGAAATGCCTACTTTATCAACGTTGTGCGTTAAATAATTGCGAATAAATATGGGGAACTCTATAACCTCCGGTCACCAACGTACCTCGAGATTTAACACTACCTGATAAAGCGATTCGGGAAGTTTGGACTGCCGGTCATAAGCCAGCACACACCGGTCTCCAGCGGGTCAGCCGTTTGGTGACCCAGAAACTGACGTCAGTGGTCGGCAGCAAACTGGTTATCCTGACACTCCAGGCATGTTCTTATCACAGTATCCAGGCAACAAATGCGAAACTCAGACAAGCACAACTAACAAGACAAACTGATATACCTGAGCACACAAGACCGGCACGGCGGGTGAGAATATGACCAATGCATTCGTTGATTGTGCCGCTCTGTTCCAACAACAACCGGTTTAGAGAGATTAGCTGATCTCTTATCAAAATCTGGTTACAGTCTAGGGTCCTAGAAATAAGTAAGGTTAAAAAAAGAAAGAACCTGAAATGGTATGTTCCAGCGGTTTAGCGTGGATATAAGAAGCCAATATACCATAGATAACATGATTCATGTTATCAATGCCAATACATCATTCGGGAAAATACGTGTGGAAAACAACATGCAGTTTGTCGGGCCAGGAGCATTGAGAATAAAGTTGGAAAATGAACATCAAACAAAATTGAAGAAACAATCTAAGCTTCCCGGTATACGCAGCTTCGTGGCATTAACGACTTTCACAAGGTGAGAAATATGAAATACCTGTGCTTTTTACCATTTTTTAAACAACTTTTGTTTGGCTCGGATAATGAATAATTGTTACATTTCTATATAGCGTCTCAACATTTAAAACATTATTAAGTAATCTTCCAACATGACTACTAAAACTTTGATCCGATTGTGTCAGTTTTTTTTACAGTTTGCGCGCGTTTGGTGTTCCGTTTTGGAGATACGTAGGTATAACACCCGGAATAAGTAAGATATTTTCCACCAGCTGTAGGTTTAATAGCTGCATCACGGCTCTTTGTGTTTCTTATCTTTTTTATATTCAAAATCAGACTGCGATGCCAGAAAAGTGCTATGTACCGAGAGGTCGCTGGCACCAGTTGACCCAGTTCACTTGAAACAACGCATACAGCTGCTTTTATAAAGCTAGCTATAAGCATATAGCTTTCCAGAGAGTTGCTTTCTAGCTCCCTTCCTGGAAAGCTTCCTAGCGTGATTCACAGGTAAGTACCACTTAGCGGTACAGACGCCGTCTTTCTTCCGAACAATTACCCCCACTTCCTGGCCAAGCAGTCCTTCCTGACAAGAGTGCCGGGAACATGTCAGCCACCACGCCCTGAACACATCAACCAGCACGATAGTTTGTCCACGATTGGGTTCCTCGGCTTTTGTGAGTTTGATATGCATCATTTTCTTTCTGTTCTCTGTGGCTATCGTCTTGAAATGCCTCTTTTACTTCTCGTCCTGAGATCTTTGCTGTCTTAACACTTATCCCAATAATCACATTCTGGTTTCATATCTTCTGTCTAATCTGTCTTTCCTTTTGACCTAGTTTCCTATCAAATATGTTGTTATGTTCCAAGTTGCATCTACGCTGTCTTGCCCCGTTCCCCGTTGGCCGTTTAGCAAGCCTTCTATCGCGTTACTTCATTTTCATGGATTTACCGTTGCCCTCTATGGTTTTCTTTCACCATTTTGTTTTCGATCTCGTAGCCTTGAATGACACGCTTTCAAAGGCGCACACTGACATCCTAACCCTCTTTCTCCCTTAGCACCACCGACACCACCAATCGATCTATTGAAGCCTCACAAATGCAGCCCTGAACACCCGTCACGTATAAATATGTACATTCTGATGCAAACGGACACGCCAGCTTCCACGTTATGATTCATTTGTGTCCCCCAAATGATAACCATCACAGCCACACGCCATTTCTCTTTTCACGGCAGACAAGTGCGCGTACAATTTGGCACAACTGATGCGCTCAAGGTCATCAGTAGCACCTGTGCTGCCGGCGGTCAGGGACGAGTGCCGGGGCTGTAGGGGGGAGGGGGCGGGGGGGGGGAGGCGGCGGGATTGAGGAAGGAGAGCGATATCGGCGTAGGCACGCCCCGTATCGGCGTAGGCACGCCGGCGGCGGTTATCGGGCGATCTGCTGTCAGTGGCGGAGTCAGATGACCGCGGCGGCGCGGCGGTATGAGACGGTCGCGGACGAGACGGTCGCCAGAGGGGGGGGGGGAGGAGATCGCCGGGCCGACGCAGGAGGAAAGAATCCTAGATGTGAGGAGCTCAGGTTTCACACTCAGGTTCTCAGCTCAGGCTCAATAGCTCCTTATTTCTCAGACTAGTATAGTATTTATTATTTATGTAATTTCATTAAATATTCTAGCGTCGTCTATCAATTTGCTTTTTCTGTCATATTTGTCAACTTGATTAGTCTAGATTCGTCATATTTGATGGCTAGATAATGCATGAGATCTGATCGACGGTTCCACAAATAGCTTGAATATGCAATATGCAGAATGACATGGCTATTTTCGCCAGCAACAGCGCCCACACACTTCACCCTGGCCCACTTTAGGGCGTCCTCGACCCACTGTGCACAGGTCGCGGCGCCCGCATGACATGTCACGACCCAGGGGCGGGGCGGGGCGGGCGCGTCGGCGGCGTGTGACGGCGCACCTGACCCGGCGGCGGCGACGGGTGGCGCGGCGCGGCCTGAGTGGCGCGCTGGCGGCGTGCGCCGCGCACCATCGATTGTCGCGGCCGTCGTACGGCGGCGCGCCTCTGGAAGGAATCGATAGCCGGCCGGCCGGTCGGTCGGCGGTGGAGAGTCGGCCGCCGCCGCGCCGCCGACCTCAGTCCGAGCCAGCGGTGGTGGCCGCCCACTGCGCGGCGGCGGTGGTGGCGCGCGCCAGACAGTTCCGCCAGCACCAGTGTGTGACCGCGGCGGATGCCACTCGCGAGGACACCATGTCGCTGCTCAGTGTGACAGGTAGGTCGACCGAGGAAGGGACCTGAGACCTGCAACCAGTGGGATGTGTCTCCTCTCTGCTACCTACATGCTACAGCAAGCTGGGAGCTCTGCTCGTTACACTGGTAGCGGCTTTTGTAAACGCTAGTGCCATTAAACAGTTTGATAAACAGTTGTTACGAAGTAGATTCTTGCTCAGAAATACACAAATATATCCTGTAGGATTCTTAAAATGAACCAGAATTAGTGTTGGGCAACGTGCCAGTTTGAAGGTCTTCTTACGTTGCATAGGTACTGCACCGATGCGTTTATTTTTAGGTGGATTCTGCAGCTATTAGTGACATGTCCTTGCTGCAAATTCAGTGCATTATCATGATTAAATATAAGGTTAGCTCAAATTTTTAGAATATTCTAAAAGTAAAGTAAGGTAAAGTAAGTAAAGTAAAGTAAAGTCTAAAAGTTCGGTAAAGTAATACAACGATAACGCCTAAATGAGATAATTGAGTAGTTACCTATCAATGTGTGTTTGTATGCGTGTGTATTTGAGAAACAGAGAGAGAAAGAGGGGAGAGAGATAAAGAAAGGGAGAGAAAGAGAAAGAGAGAGAGAGAGAGAGAGAGAGAGAGAGAGAGGAAGACAGGGAGAGAAAGAAAAAGAGAAAGAGAGAGAGAGTGTGAGAGAGAGAGAAAGAAAGGAAGAGAGAGAGAGAGGAAAGGGAGAGAAGGAGAGAGGGAGAGAGAGAAAGAAGGAGAGAGAGAAAGAGGGAAATAGAGTGAGGGAGAGAGAGAGGGAGAGAGAGAGGGAGAGAGAAAGAAAGAGAGAGAGAGAGAGAGAGAGAGAGAGAGAGAGAGAGAGAGAGAGAGAGAGAGAGAGAGAGAGAGAGAGAGAGAGAGAGAGAGAGAGAGAGAGAGAGAGAGAGAGAGAGAGAGAGAGAGAGAGAGAGAGAGAGAGAGAGAGAGAGAGAGAGAGAGAGAGAGAGAGAGAGAGAGAGAGAGAGAGAGAGAGAGAGAGAGAGAGAGAGGAGAGAGAGAGAGAGAGAGAGAGAGAGAGAGAGAGAGAGAGAGAGAGAGAGAGAGACTGGCCATTGTTTGAGATGAGCCTTGGGTTCACCGTTGGATTGCATTGCAGACTAGACCTTCTATGCATGCATATTTACAATTAACGATATACGAAAACAGTGAGTTATCTGCAGATTAGACATATTGAGACGCAACCGCAAGCCGGAATTGACCATAACACATGATTTTGTAGACAGTAAAGGACCGACTCGCGGCGAATGAGATAAGTACCGATTCCAGTATTGTCTGTCCACGGCTGAGCTGTTGCTGTCTATTGATCAAAACATTATATAATTCCCTCGCTCGTTTGGCGCTTTTACAGAGCTAAGGTACCTAAAGGCCGGAAGGAGATTGTACAATGTACAGTCCTCAGTAGACTGCGTGGTAGGTATTCTTTTTTCGACAAAACCGATAATAACTCAAAGGCTATGCTATCAGTCGGTCGGAACTCATTGCAAATAGATGCGCCATGCTCCACTCCTTCGGTTAGGTTTTATCACTAAACAAACTATACGCCTTGTGTGGCAACAAAATGCAAAAGTTTGTTTTTTGGGCAAATATAAACTTTTGGGTTTTGTTGCCGAACTAGATGGAAAATGAATACGGCGATGACATGCCAACCTAAGTTGCGGAGTCTCACGCGTCTTGCTGTTACGATTTCCGAGTGACCAATATTCGCGTTATTCTCGTTTTTGTCGAAGAAAAAATACTTACCACGCAGTTTGCAGAGGGCTGTACATACGATAGGCTTCCAAACCATTCGGCACCTGATGAAGCTATAAGAGCTTCGCGAAAAAGAAAGTTTGTTGCCCGTAACAAGAGGAATCATTTTAAGGTGCTAGATCATTGATGGTCTTCCAGATGTCAGGTCAATGACTCAAATTCACATATTGGTAGGTACATACGTTTCTTATCACAAAAGGTCTGGAAACGCAAAGATAAATTGCGCTGAAATAAGACGAATCGTCAGGTTCGCCCGACATGGCTTCAAGAGACAGGTTACAGGGCGAGGATCAGTTGGGTCTGGGTCATATACAGTTTGAAGAAAAGAAGTCAAACTGATTTGAATGCAATAATATTATTAGCCTATATCATTTCATTAAAGGGACCCTCCCACCTTCAAAAAAGTTTATGAATTGGCATGCGAGTGATGTCGCTCGGTTCAGAAAGAGCGAAAACGAATATCTACCAAATTTCACCGAAAAATATTCACCGGTTTTCAAGATATTAGACTTTTACTTTTGTTTACTTTTTGGGATCTCCGCTGTTCCTAGCGACTTTATTTGGAAGCAATAGTTTGGCAGCTGAAAGTGCGGCACTTGTTGCGCGCAAAGCAGCATATACCACCGCGTGCTACAAAACGTTTTAGTCAAACATTTAAAAATCGTTAGACATCTGCGCTGACGTCACACATTCAGAGGGGTATTCCTATGCATTAGCCCCTCTGAATCAAAATGCTGCAATTTTGAAATTCAATGTTTCCGACCCCGCGCCCCAGTGTCAGTCTGGATTTTCCACGACCAGTGGCCTCTTGCACCAAAATCCTCTTGCACCAATGCTTGGATTATTTTGCATCGTATACCCAGTCCAAGTCTCAAATGTAACAATTTGCGTGCAAAATTTAGCAAGCACATGTAGGATTATGTATTGGGCTATTGCAAATAAATTTACCGCCGTTAGATTAGCTTATTCTGAAACCGGTTTTTCGATTTTACCTAGCTAGGTAGTTTGGTGCAAGAGGCCTCTGGTGTGGGGGGTGTTTGAACACCCCCCTTCTAACTCGGCTCCTGGGCCACGTAGAGACACGCGGTAAGCGGCAATCGAAAGAACGTCAAAAATAAGGACGAAAACACTTCGGTCATTTTTTGGGTCAGGTCAAAGGTCAGGTCACCAGAGGTCACCAAAGATAAAATGTTGACTATTTCAACATTTTGGAAACTGCCAACGGCTATCTCGGGAGCCGATAGAGCTACAGCGCCGCGGAAAAGCGCATTCGATAGCCCTTTTACAGACCTTTCTGAGTAATGTTCTCAAATTTGACCTCAGGTCAACGGTTTAGCCTCCAGAGGGCAAAAACTCCAAAAATAGCCGTTTTTACGAAAATCGTTTTTTTCGGCTATAACTTTTGACTCAAAAGAGCCATGACATTACTTTTGCCAGCATCGTGTTCCTCTCGTCGAGACGCGTCGAATGAACTATAAGTTGACCTTGAAAGGTCAACTTGAAAATTTGACTTCAGCGTCGTTCAGCGTTGAAAATTTGAAAATAGCGTTCGTGCAAAACAGACGCTTTTCAATTTTCTCCCATTGACTTATAATGGAGAGGCCGCAAAATTGACCTGACCTTAGGTCACCGATATCAAAATTCTGAGATAAACATTTTATAGATACTGTTACCCTCATCAATCGCTGAAAGTTTCAAAGTGATCGATCACGCGGTGTAGCTATGGCAGACATTGAAACTTTTTATGAGGTGAGGTCACTTCAAGTGACCTGGTGACCTGACCTTGAATGACCTTGGTCTGAAATTTTCACAACATGTGTAGTATTGATGTATGATAAGGTGTACAAAAAACGGCGGCGCTCCGCGCAGCCGTTTTTGAGATATCTGCGAAAAACCGCACGGGGGTGTTCAAACACCCCCCACACTTGGGCGCGGGTTAAGGCATTTCTCGATGTTGTGAGTGACGAAACCGGTAATTGTGAGCCAGGGACCCCATTTTGGCTATCTCAACTCAAATCTAATGTTAAGGTGGGAGGGTCCCTTTAAACGGCTTTTACTGACAATTGAGCATCTTATACTCCGTGTAAATTTTCAACGTTATACAAGTATTTTGAAAAGCTCTCAATTGGTTACCACGGTATACATTGTGTCAACATGAAACATTTTTAACCCTATTGGCTGTGCTGAGGCGATTTAGTCCCTCATGTTCAACTTTTCGTCTTTCTAGAAAATGAAATGCGATGCATTTTTTAATCATAAAACAAAATAAATGAACCGAATTGTAACCTTCCTTACTCTGTAGAGAGTAGAGACATCAATAGAGAGTGGCGACAGCCGCGGTGCCAAAAGATGATCCTTAGATAACCGAAGGTTTGTTGTCAATAGTTAAAACACTATTCTTTAGAATTGTGTTTTCTATTGAAAAACAAATCTGAGTTCCCTGATATTCTTCCCTGAATATTTTTCTTTTTCAAAGAATGTTATAAACTCGTAACAAGCTTTATGCTCGTAATATTTTGCCGATGGTTTGGTTTCATGGCGTTTTTGCTCATTTCCTCGCGAGGGCTTGACATACGAAAATGGCAACTAGACTGACGAACATAATTCTTAGAAACAGTCAACGCCAATCATTAGCTACCGGTTCATCTACATTCTACGGGCTCAGCGTCTCCCAGTTCCCGAACTCTGAATGTGCATAATTAATCATCTGCCCTGTCACCGTAACTCAAAGTTATCAGTTGATTCATTGGCGTTGACTTGGCCAAAGACGTTACGGCCTCCGACTGCAAGATGATTAGGTCTAGCGTTTCCACATTATTACCATCTCCATGGAACATGCAAGGCCTCCATACCGCCGCCCGATAGACGATGCATTCTGGGATTGGAGTTTTGAAACACAGCGGAAAGATAAATCTTCCTTGACGCTATGCACCGAACAATTTTCACCCAAAGGCCATCGATGGCCTTTTGCAACCCAAATTGGCTTAATCTGAAAGAGTGCGATTGACTCTATCTTCCGATCAATATCTGCCACTGTGGCTGTCAGGGTTACTCATTTCGCATCTGAGCGGGGTGGGGAGCATTAACTCACCATCAGTGAGACGTGTTGCCGATGAGGCGAAGGTGGAACTCTGATAGATCTTGGCATAGGTGGGACATTATTCTTTGACAGCCTTTGGTTCTTGGCTTTGATGCTCTCCATACCTGTAAGATTGCGGCATGAAAAGCTTAGGCGTCAAA